TGAATACACACAGATAGTTTTCTACTGTAAAAAATTATTTTGTCAGAAAAATGAGGAAGAAGGTATATTATTTCTGCCAAACCATGCATAAAAATATAATCTTTCTGGGGTTTAACTATAACATTCATCCCACATGAATCAAGTTAATTAGGAGAATCAGGATTAGAAATATCAGTATCAGGCTTCCTGCTTTCTTGTTAGGTGAATAGGGATGCTTTGAATTTTTTTTTGTTATTTAAAACAAAGAAAAACTCATTACCTTTTGTATTTTGGTGGATTTTGAAAAATAACTATCTGAGTTCAACAAATATTTTCATAAATAAATGTTTGTGTTTAAAACTAAAACTCTTTCTTTTCACCATCTAATATTTTTTCTTTCCATCTTGATATTTTTTCACCATCTGATATTTTTTCTTGTTTGCACCTATTGTTGCAATGCAGCAGAATTATACACCTTTGATTTTTCATATTTAAACATATTCTAAAAGGCAACATTTGGAAATACTGCAAGAAAAAATCGTCTTGCAGACAGAGGTGGGGAATATGAATTGTTTATCTGGTGTCAGTATTAGCAAGTTTCTATAGTTTTTGGTCCTTTGTGGTGATTTTTCAAACCTACAATAAATAGTTTTAGAGCCAAATTGCTCAGAAGAATCCTAAAATAAAGCAAGAACAGCTGAAAGCTGTGATTTACTTGGCATCTTCATCTCCCACCAGGTTCAAGAAAGGAATTCAGGAATTTCAGAAAAAATTTAATTCCTAATGAAGAACAATTTTTTATCCTATTTAATTCCTCCTCAGCAAGCAGGGACATAACTCAATGTAAGCATAAACATAACTCAGTATAGAATTAAAAAATTGTTTGGAAGGAGCCATAAAGACCATCTAGTTCCAGCCCCTGTCTCAAGGGTCTGGACACCTTCCACTAGACCAGGTTGCTCAGAGCCCCATCCAGCCTGGCCTTGAACTCTTCCAGGAATGGGGCATTCACAGCTTCTCTGGACATCCTCTTCCAGTGCCTCACCATCCTCACAGTAAATTATTTCTTCTGTAAGTCTAAACCTAAATTTCCCCTCTTTCAGTCTGAACCCATTGCTCCCCGTCCTGTCACTACAGTTCCTGATGGAGAGTGCCTCTCCAGCTTCACTGCAGTCCCCCTTCAGGTACTGGATCCATCCCTGTTTAATGTTAGTTTTGCATTTCACAGCACTTCAGCAAAAGGCAGACGTATTTTTTAGTGCCTCTCTGCCTGGTAGCACTTGTGACCAGGAGGAAAGCAGAGCTGCACTATGGGAACAGCAACAGTGCCCTGCTGTGCCACTCACACAGCCTGACCCACACTGCCAGCCTGCAGACACCCGAAATGGCACAACTGCCGTGTGTCACACAGGACAGGCCGGACTGACCCACACTGCCAGCCTGCAGACACCCGAAATGGCACAACTGCCGTGTGTCACACAGGACAGGCCGGACTGACCCACACTGCCAGCCTGCAGACACCCGAAATGGCACAACTGCCGTGTGTCACACAGGACAGGCCGGACTGACCCAAAGGGCTGCCTGGTTCAAAGGGAATTTCTCCTTTCCACTTTATTCCTCAGTCTCCCAGGAGCCAGGCATTCCAGGGACACTGAAACATAGCATTCCTCAAAAACCATGGCCTGAGTCACGACTGCAGTGCTTCCAGTGCTGATGGAGGGAGCTGGAAGCAGGGTGGAGAGCCACCCCAGGGTCACAGCCTGGGACTGCACAGCCTCCCAGGACTGGGCAGTACCTGAGGGCACAGTGCTGGAGCTGCCTGCCAGGATTTTATCTTGGGCACAGGTTTTCTTGGGATATGCTTGGGCACAGGTTTTATCTTTGGCACTCTGAAAATTTACCAAACAAACAAAACGCTGCAGACAACGCTCCAGGTTCAAAGAATCAGCACTGCAGCTGTGCCAGCAAACACTGGGAGAGCCCTAGATAAGGGATCAGGCTGCTGCAACAGTGTAAAGTACATCGTGTTTTTGAAACCAAGGTAATGAGACAAGGAGTGAGAAACACACATAAAAAATGCAGCTACAAATATTTCACTTACATGCTGGCATATTTCAGAAAACTTTCGTGAATCTTCCTTCCTTCCCTGATCTCACCTGCTGCATTGATATTTTTCATTATTTTAATATGAGGATGAAATAGAAATAATTCCAACCTCAGGTTTGCTCTTTCAATGGTTTTAAAAAATGAGTGCAAGTTTGTGAAATATGTTTCAAAATACTTTTTGCTAGGAACTTTTTTCAATTTTTTTTTTTCACAGACCCATCGAATTGTCTTAAAGATATTGAACAGGGAGTCAGGGATCTGAATAAAATTAAGAATGTTAATGAAAATTGACATCTCATTTGAAAATACTTGATCTAATTTTCTAAATATTAAAACAACTTGTATGTATCTTAGATTCTGATGAAAAGATTGCATTTTGCATGAAGCCCCCCCTAAATTTAAGCCTATCAGATGCAAAAACAAAGTAAAAAGGAATCATGGAATCACAGAATCATTAAGGTTGGAAAGACCTCTAAGGTCATTGAGTTCAACCAGCAGTGCCAAGTCCATCACTAAACAGTAGTGAGCAACTTAAGCAAGAGTGAGGTTGTGACACATGTGGACAACCTGCAGCTGCATTTCTGGAAAGCACTTTTCAGACCAGAACCATAACACTTTTCTGTTTTTGGAGGAGTCACTAGCTCTGGTTTGAAGTATATAATCAATAGCACTTATTTAAATCTACACTGCTAAATCTTCATAGCTCTCCTGTGTTCAAAACAATGCCTTTCTCAGAGAGGCAGGCTATTTGATTCAGCATAGCCCTAAGGGAGTTATAACCGTGCTCTTTTCCCCATATTTATGATTTTCTCATTTTTATGATTCATGATTTATGATTTTAGTCCCTTCCCTCAGAAAAAAAAAATTAGAAACTTTTGAAGTCTCTTGTAGAACAACAGTAATCTCTTGTTTGTTACCAAACAGGAGGATACATTGTGTAGCTGTTGAAGTATGTAATTCCTGGTGTGTTTGATGTTGAAGTATGTAATTCCTGCTTCCCTTTGATTAAATTCTTACAAGGCTAAAGAAAATATTTAATAAAATTACCTTACACCAGATAATTTTTTCTTATTTTGAAATGTCATACACAGCTCGGAATTCAACCAAACTCTCTGAAATGGTTGCGGACCAAGCTTCTGGTACTGTATGTGGCTTCATAGTAAAGATTAGGGAAAGCACTGAAAATTTTAGTAAGGGAGGACCTCAGATAGTTCAGTAAATTGAAATTAACATCATAGTGACACAGTCAGCCAAGCAAGGGCATTGACTTGTGTAAAATAACCCTGTCCCATTGGTTTTCAGCCTGCCTGGGATGTGGGGACGCTGATGACTGCAGCAGGGGGTGACACACAGGTGGCAGTGCCCAGGGCTGGGGGGGAGCAGGGCAGCGTCACCCTTGGCAGCACAGTGGCCCCATCCTCAGCTCACCTGCGTGTCCAGCCTCATCCAGAGCACAAAAGGGAAAATGAGGTGAAGTTTTCAGGGCTCTGCCTTTGGCATCAGAGCCTGTTTGAGACCTTGGAGACAGCAGATCCCACCAGCATCCCAAAGCAGCTGCAGACACAGGCTGAGAGCTTTTACACTGCACACATGACTTTTTCTACAAATACAGAGCAAACCCAGGTAAAGTTTTACCAGCTTTAATGTATCTTTTGGTGTGGTAATGAAAAAGATCATCATCAAAGAGGATAAGGACCATTAAAAACCCAATATTCTGCTACAGTGATTTGTTTATGGCCTCATTTGGCAGCAGTTTTATTTATCAGGTGTGCAGCTTCACTGAATGTCTTATAGCCCAGGTGCTTCAGGAGTTTATTATCTGCAGGACACTGTGCTCCTGTTCCAGAAGAGATGATATCTGGAACAGGAATTGTTCTAGGGCAAACTTTACAGACCTGTTTCTCCAATCTGTCAGCCAGTTTTGGCACTTTGTCTCCACAGATTTCTGTGAAGACAGTAGGAAAAAATGTAGGCTGGAGATCACACCTTGCATTGCTGATAGCTTTTGCTGAAAAACTAATGTTCTGCAAAGCACTACTACATGAAAAACAGCTGTACATCAATTTCTGCTATTGCCTGCCCTTAGTTAAACCCAACTCAAATTTTGTGGTACCACTTAGGTGATGCAACTTTCACTATCTCATACCTTTGAAGACAGGAAGAACAAAACAGTAATGCTTGGAAATTGCCCTGCTGTCTCTTCCACAACACAGCAAAAGCTGACACAGTTGAAAGCTGTAAACATATTCCAACTCACATTTATTCACGTTACTGCTTTCACATTGACGTGGTGCAAGATACTGCTCATTTCAGATGGGGCCACAGACATGCCCCAGTAAACTCTTGATATCTTTTAGACCATGAATTAACACTGTACTCAGGACATTAATAAATACTTGAAAAGTCTGTAAATGACCTATGTTGAACTCCTTTGTAAAAGTATTTACCTTATTTGAATGGATTTATTTCTACGTCAAAATACATTACACCATGAAGTGATGGATGCAACTGTTCTGAGAAATTGTGTGCACCTGATATGGTGTTTATCACTGCTGCAAGTCTGCATAAGTTCGAGATTGAGCAGGAAATGATGAAGATTATGCAGAGCCAAAAAAGATTTGATCTTAAGGTACTCATTTTGCTCTCATTGAAAGCACAGCAGCCCTTCCCAGGGAGATCCTGTGAGCTGGTGCTCAATGATCTGATGCTCTGGCGATGCCTCAGTCCAGGGTGAAATGCTGGATGCTTCAACCTCAGCCCAAGATGAAATGCTGATTGCTTCAAGCTCCTCTGAGCTCTCTGAGCACCCCACACCTCCCTGCATGTGCGTGTGCATGCGTGTGTGCGCTGCTCACCACACCACGGAGCAAAGTCCAGCAGCCACGCTCATCAATTCATGTCCCTGACTGTGCCCTTTAGACACAGCCCTCGTGGCAGATGTGGTTGCCATTGATGAGGCTGAAGGTGGCCAGGGAGTGGTTGGTGCTCTTGAGGGAGGTCATGCGCGTGGTGCTCCTGGCCATGCTGTGCGAGCGGATGAGCAGGCGAGCCCTGCAGCACAGCAGCTGGTTGTTGAACTGCTTCCGGAAGCTCTTGCTCAGCAAGTACAGAGCAAAGGGGTTGACACAAGAGTTAGTGAAGGCCAGGATCCGAGCACAGATGCTGGCAATGAAATGCAGCACTGAGGTGTCCACCTCGGAGTAGTGGTAGGAGCGGTACAAGTAGATGATGTGGGTGGGCAGCCAGCAGAATGCGAAGAGGCACACGAAGACCAGCACGGTCTTGGCCAGGCGCTTACGGGACTCAATCTGGACAAAGAGAAACACAGATTAGCTGATGTTCCTAGCTCAGACCAGGGCCTGGCTATTTCTGCCAGTGCTGCAGCTTTCCAGCTAACATATGGCACATAGCACACCCAGAGCAGGGATGTGGACTGCAGGTGAACACAGTCAAGAAATCTGGACTGCAGGTGAACACAGTCAAAAATTCTCCTTGTCTCTCCTCAACCCCCTTCTCTTATAAACAAAAAATTCTGAGAATTTATTACATAAGAAGTAGTCTTTCTTTTCCTTTCTGTTTAGAAATAAAATTTCCAGTGGCTTGTCACTTTGCAAAATCCCAGGTCTGGCAAGAAAAGTGTGGACAATCTGCATTAGTTATCCACACATAATATATACAATCATATGTAATTTTAATAAATTGCCTTATTATTATTGCTATTATTATAATTAATAATCGTGTAGGAGTCTGGGATATTTCACAGAGCTCACAGGCAGGACATTCTGCCATGGGGCCATGTGGTGTATGTACACAAAAGTGCTGTCAACAGCTTACAGCCCTTTAAGACCAAGTTCAGCGCTCAGAGTCTGAAGCAGATGGAGAAACAAAAAGAGGATATTCTGTACTTGGAGGAACACCAAGGCAGCAGTGAGGTGGACCCTTCAGCTGAAAGCACTGGAGCCACCAGGAGAGAGCTACAGGTGGTGAACAGACGGATGACCACCTCTAGGAAGAATCTGAGCTTTGTCAGGGAAAGGTGCTTTCACAAAGCCAGCTAGCACACAGTGTAACCTTCATGCAGACCAGCCACACTTGTTTTACTTTTTGATTCTACAGGCCTGGAATCAACCCAAAGGTATTGCTCAACTGAGGGGAGCTGAGGTAAACCATACCTTGTCTTTTGCCTACAAGTGCTGTACATTAGGATAACGAAGCCACTGAAAAACACATCTCTTTTCCTTATGGACACAAAAGCCATGAAGGAGTTGCCCAAAATGAGAGGACAGAGCTGCCCAGAAAAACCTGCTAAAATGCATCACTCCTTGGAAGAGGTAATGCCGCCAGAGTTTGCAGGATTGGGAAATGTAACACTGCTGATCTTTTAGGGCTCCCTCATGTTCTCCTGTGTGGTAATCCCACTAACACTCCCCGGCACTCCTAGAGAATTAGCTGCATCCCACTTCTTGTACTTAAGTAGGATGTGAATGGCCTGCAACTGCCCCTAGCCTCAGCCCTGCTGCCCTTGCTCCTGCCCCAGTGCGGCCACAGCGCCTGGCCAGGCTCCCAGGACACTGCTCCATCCTCACTCTGCTTCCAAGCTCCACAGGTAAATCAGAAACTGAGCATTTCACACAGGCTGATCTATTCTCAGGACAGCTACAAGCAGGAAGCAGGCAGGAGAGACACTGCAAGCCCATTTGGACTTTATTTCATGCCCCTTTAATGGGACAGACTAAAAAAATCAGCCATTGAGCTCAGGAAGGACTGACATGCACCAGATGATAACATCTCCAGCGAGCAGGCTGAAAATTAAATCCTTTGAGAAAGGGCTCTCCTTGGCTAAACCATATATTCTTTTAAAATGTATTCTTAATTTGATATAGGGCTATTGAGGCCACATCTGCACTATAAAGAAAGGAAGCAATGCAATAAAGAAATCGATACCAGTTATCTCAGATGGAGACGTATAGCACTTGAATGCACTGCAGGACGGGAATGATGGACGGAGGGTGCTAGACCAGCCTGGCCTTTTGCTTTCTTTAGAGCTCTCTCCCCAAAACCAAAGGGGAAAGGGCTGCTTGTACTGCTCACTTTATTGCCACTAATCAAAACAGCCATCGAATCAGCAGAGAAATGGCCTGCGGGGGAAAAGATTTACGCACATTCAGAAGGGAAAAAGGATAAGGATTTCAGGGATCACACATCATTTGATGGGCAAAACCCAAGTCTTTCCAGCCTTACTGCTTCAGCATAGCACCTGAAGGCTGGGTAAGATGATTTTGTTGGGTCAGTCTAAGGTGGAGGTGCCAGCTGGGTGCAATTGAGTGGACAGTTGCTCAGCTACGAATGGCTTGTGTCAGTTTTGCTGAGGTTGAAGTACACCTCAGTTAAAAAGAAGAGGTAAGGCAAATAAGATAAATACCTCAAGGTAAATAGGCTGTTTAGAAACAGGCAAGGCTTCATCCAAGGTCCTCCCTCTGACAAAGCAACTTTGTGAAGTTTTGATTTTCTCCCATACCACCCCTTTGCTTCAATTTGCAATGCTGTATCTGCTCTGCCCCCCTTTCCCTGCATCCTAGTCAGTACCTTTCTAGGCTTTGGCAAGGGTCTCCTGCTATGCTTGCCATGGTAACCACTCTGCCAAAGTCTCTGAACTTACAAACAGGAGGAGATGCTTTAACTGTTTAGCCCTGTATTATGGCTTCTTTCATCCATTTTAATTCTTTTACCCCACCCAATCTATTAAAATCAGTATGACAGACACAGTCTGTCACAGTATAAATTTCCCTGTATTCCCTCTTTCCTCCCAGATTCAAAGAAAATGTGGATTTTTGAAGAAAGTCAAATCTCTACCTGTTTTCTCACATGCACATTTCCTTCCACGGGGATGTTGTAAGCACTCCGCATCAGATTCTTAGCAATAAAATAATAATATACTGAAATTACAGATAGGGGAATAATATAAAATATGAGAAAGGATGCCATTGAGTGAATTTTGGGATGCAGCCCATCTGAATGAGGGTAAGGAGCGCAGCTGATAAAGGTTTTATTAGTCCCTTTGTCATGGAAAGGGTGCAGATCTGAAAATACTGCTTCAGGGATGGCAAGCAGCATGGATACAATCCAGATTATAGCAGCTCTCACACAAATCTTCATCAGTGCATGTGATGCTTGGATCTCCATTGGCCTTACTATAGCTTTATACCTAAAAAACAAACAAAAAAAGGATATGGTTTATTGACCTCAACATTCAAGCATAGTATTACTGCTTTTCCCTTCCATTCAGAAATAAAAACACAAACAAAACCATTCTTTACTCAAGACTGGATTTTTTCTGGTGTTTTTCATTTCAATATTTTCAATAGACTTCTCAATTTAAACCCAGAGCCACCTGTCATCAGTTCATTCAGTTTCATGTGTATTGAGTTTATTTAATTTGTAATTGACCCAACAAAGCACAGGGCTCCCTGATATTAACATGTTAATTAATATTAATGACATTAATATCTGTCCAAACAGCATTGAGACAGGAAGGGCAATCATTAACTTCTCTTCCAAGGTGTATAGCAGCTTATACCCCAGAACAGTGTTGAAGGAAACTGGGCTGAGATTTTGACACACTTTTCAAGCTGTGAGTATAGCGGTCTCCTGCAAATCTTATTTTTTCTCAAGCTACAAAGAGCATGCTGCCTGCTTAATTGCTGTTTGGTGGTGTAGCTGGCAAGAGTAGCTCAATGCATTGAGGTAAAGTAGCCAGAAGTGCTAACTGAGTCTCTTGCAGAAAATCACCATTATTGCTCGCTATTCTATATACATAGAGACATTTTTTGACTTGAAATGTTGTCTTTCATGACTTCAGCCTTTCAGAAAATTGTACTTTAGAATCCAAGGATATCAAAGAATGAAACTTATTTGAAATTGGTGTGTATAATGAGAGGAATGGAAAACATCAGAACTTAATATATGCTGGAACCCTGCTTTGGCAGGATTTGACACTCCAAGCAAGCCACAACTCACATACGCTTTTAAGGAGCATAGTAGAAGAAAAAAAAGGTGATTAGGAAGGAGTATCTACAGGTTTCACAAACTAGCATGGAGGGTCATTATTATAAATTACAAACTGTTGGATAATTCTTCCAGGATCTGCCTCACTCTGCCATGGTGTGCTTGGCTCCCCGTTGGTCACTGCTCCCTGGGACTGCTGTGTGCCTGGGTCCCGGGCAGTCCCAGCCCTCTCTGGCATGGCAGGGTACGTCCCATCAGCTCCTCAGTCCATCTCTAAGCTCCTTCCAGCATCCTGGCTCCTGAAGTGGGCACTGGGTGGGAGCAGAGGCAGTGAGCACCCACACCCTGCCCCAGTGCGGGTGGCACAGCAGGGCCCCTCCATGCAGCAGCACAAACCAGGCTCTACGGACACTCCACGAGTCCCCACCTGCTACAGCCTGCATTATCCCAAAGCTCAACATCTGAAAGAGGAGTCTATCAGTCCTGAAGTGTTTTACTGTGTAATTGCTTTATTTGAAGGGTAAGCATGCATTCAACTTCTGATTATATGCAATATCCTGCTCAGTACACCCAGCTTTCCTCCATGTAGGTATATATGTGTCTACGTATCTTTGTGTATGATTTTAAATACACACAAACATTTATATGCATGTACATTTATGTATACATAACTACATACATAGTTACATAGTTATTTTTATGAAGACTACATCTAGAAATTTTATCATTTGCAGGTATTTCTTCATGCAGGTATGTCTTGTGTAGGGGATTTTTCCTTTCATGTACTACCAACACCATGCTCAGTAGTTTGCTGTTTAAACACTTACTCTCCAAGCCCTGCAGCTCCCCTTTTATCCAGCTACAGGGGCCACACACAGGATTTTTAAGGTTTGCTCAGTGCCTCTTTAACTTTCACTCTGAAAACTGTGGATTAAGTGGTGTCAAAACACAAAACACAATCTTCCAGCACCAGATCATAAACTCAGGTGGAGAACGTCACAGCTCTTAAACAAATATGATGCTCTGGATATTGCAGTCATAAAACAGAAGTGCTAGGCAGATTACTAAAAGAGTGGTGTTAAAATAGCTCCATTTATAGTCTCATTGACCAGATATAGATTATTGACAGAAACATTAGCTCACTGGAAGTCTTCAGTAAATCTTAAAGAAGAGAAATGCAAAAGGAAATGAATAATATATCATGGTATTAGGAAATTTGGTAGATGCAAAGGTCTTTCTGCAGATGTTTACTGTATGCTTATCAACATGACGTGTTAGCATGATTATTTCAAGGATTGTCTTACAAAATATAGACAGCTGAGAGAAAATTTTCTAGTATTATGTTCCAGGAACACGGATAAGTTAAAGAATATAGAGAAACTGTTTAATTTTTATTAACAGAGTTGGAGGAGCCAGAAAATTACTCCATTTCAAGTTATTGGTACATTTTAATCAGAGATGGCATACAAAACCAATTTAATTTGGACAGAACATAATTAGAAATGTCTAGGAATGCTGGCACTGACTACTAGGCATTTAGTGTATTTTTAAAGCCTCCTACAGCAGATGTGAGAGAAGATATGAGAGAAGTTTTGCTTGCAAAGGGTTCAGTGTAGACCCATAGGATGGGAGTGAAAGAACAGAAAGATAAAACAGAGGAAACAAAGCTAGAAAACAGATTTTCAAAATATTAGTTCCCAGGTGCAGGACCACAGGTAGGTATTTTCTTAATAGCCTGACAATCAAATAAAATTATTTTGCTGCCTATCTGCATGACTTCCTTGATGGTGGGTAAATTTAAGGAGAAATCTCTAGTAATCTCTGTCACTCTCCAAGTATTGATGTGTGAGTGATCAGTGCTGATCTGGTAGGAATCCCCATTTCCAGCTGCCTTGCTGATGTGTCAGTGGGTCTCTCCAGTTTGTGTTCCAGTATTCCACTCCAGCTCAGGCTCTGGACAGCAGCTGCAGGGGCTGCTCCTGGTCAGGGCACAGGGGATGCTACACATGAGGAATTGGCTCCCCTGGCTGGTGCTTGGGCTGGGACACCACTAGATTTTCCTGTTGCTGGTGTTCAGGGTGTGAAAAAGCTGCATCTCCTGGTTGGCTCCTGAGTGGGGCTCAGAAATGCCTTCACTCCTTTACTTTTCCATACCACTTTCCTGGCAGGGTCAAGCCTGGGGCTTATAATTTATTTGACATTTCTTCAGAACTCCCTCCAGGTAGACTGGATTTGAGTAGCAGCTCATTCTGCTTTTCAGCATGTGTATTTCCACTTGTATGTCAAATAATATTTCAAGTCTCCACGGCTTTGTCCTCTACCATTTGTTTTTCAATGAGTTAGCCTGAAGCATGCAACTTTCCCATATTTAACATCCAGCATGTAAATATTTCAACCCCCTTTGAAGGAAACATTGATGAATATACCTATACACCTTAGAGGAGCCGTGGATCTCATGGAACTGAGCTTTCAGGCATAATTTTTAGCTTAGGTCATAACATGGCCTCTGAGAATGTGAGTCACATTGCATGCTCAACTGTCTGCAGTAGATCTAGACATGGCCCTGGACTGATCACCTCTGCTGCTCAAACATTCAGTCTCTAATTATTGAATTATTGTTTGAAATATATATATTCTTTTCAGGTTAACTTCTTTCCCTATTGCCTTTTAAAGAAAAAGTTTAAAAACCAGAGGTACAAGTCATACACTGCAACAAAGTCCAAAACTTCAAAATATGCCTTGTGAAGATTCAGTTGAATAAAAAAAAACACAGTCAAGAACTCATGCCAGACAGCCCAGATGAAAATGAGTGAGATGCTGATCTGATTGGAAATATGAAAGAGATGCTGCCCTTTACTACTGCTCAGTCTTTGAATTTCTCTGTTCTCACTGGTGAAGCAGCCAGGTTCACTGAAGCTGCCAATCACCTCCCAGCCAGGATGGAGGCCAGTCAGCTCCTTGTCTCACAGTCTCACTCAAAGAAGACTCAAAGAAGCCCTCAAAAGAAATTAGTCATGGGGCTATCCTAAGTGTGCTTAATGCAATTGGAATTCATGAGGCACTGTGAGGATTCCCCTGCTAAGGAAATCCTCCCCACACCAGCCACAGTGTCTCTGGGGCTGTCCCTATTCTCCAGGGCAGTATTCAAGCCTCCAAGAGAAAGCTGTGAGAAAGATGATTGTGTTCCTTCAACCCAGAACACCTGATCACTTTTTAACCCAATCCCAAAAATTCACTGTGGATTGGCAGGAGTCCACAGAGCACGTGCATCTCCACTGAATCCTTGAAAACATCTTTTTCACATCTCTATTGTGCTCATTGAGTAGTTGTTTCTCACAACTGAAACTACTGAAATGACCATAAACCACTAAAATGTGGCACACCCAAGGTCTTTCTGTGGCAAACTTTTCCCACTGAGGTTACTATGCCAGGGAAACAGGAAAACTGTGTCATTGTCCCTGTGTTAATAATATTGTAACTAAGGATAGCATCACCTAATGTACTCTAAAGCTTGGAGTATGCAAACATTGGTTAATACCATGCACTTAGCCCCAAAGCTGCAGCTTCAAATATAAACACACAAGTAGCTGCAGCATGAAAAAGACACTTATAGATACACTGTCCAAAGATACCAACCAAATTATGGCCCCAAATGGATATCAGTGTTTCCTAGGTGTAATTTCTCTGTTGGTACAAAAGTATTTTATCCATCTTTGTGCTCCTCAGCTGAGCCAAGAAAATGCACATCATCTGAAACATGAACAGGCTTTTCCTTCAAAGCCATACTGCCTATACATTTCTAAGCATAGAAGGGCTGCAATTTTGTTCTCGGGAAGAAAGGACCTTACCCACAAAGACTGCAGCCTCTGTGCTTCCTTCATGGCGTCTTCCTGTCACCTTCTTCCACTTACTTATGCCTGCTACAGCAGCCACAAAAATTAAACGGAAACAACTAAAGCATGGGGGGGGGGGGGGGTGGGAAATCAGATGTTTCCTTGGGATTTTAAATTAATTTAGCTCCATATGGCTAAGTCTCTGGTTTTGTGTTTTTGGTTTTTTTAAGGGAAGTAACTTTATGCTGTGTGGAGAAGCTGGTGCTATAGGCAGCCTCAGCTTGCTCTCCTCTCCATGACTGCTTGGTACTGATGCCTTTCTTCTTTCCCTTATGACAGCAAGGAAAGCTAATGTAGATGACCCAGG